GGGTTCTCTGTTTTACCTGGCTGCACTAAGCTGATTGGTTAGCAGTGGCTTAGGTTACTAACAGAAGCAAAATGAACAGAAAAGGTTTGAGCATCGATGGTGTCTCACTGCAGGAATGATCTCATCACATGATTTGCATTGAATAAACTTTATTAAACTGTAAATGCAGAGTGCATGGAGGTTAGCTGAAGCATCGGAAACCTTCAGCTCGTCCCCTCATCGAGAACCAGAGTTACAACGATAACCGAAACTTACTGAGTCCTCCCAGCTGTTTGATGACCGCAGCCAGCGTGCTGTTGGTGACGCACTCCAGCTCACTGGCGACCCCATCAGGCAGAGAGCCGCGGCACAGGTACCGAGGCTCGATGATTCGCTTCACCAGCGGCATGGCTCACCTGGAGACAGAGAGACGGATCACTTCCTGTTTCTCTCTCATTTAAACGCTGACGCTCCTTTGAAAAACTAGTTCATGCATTTATTACTTCCAGGCTGGACGACTGTAATTCATTATTATCTGGAAGTCCTAAAAACTCCCTGAAAAGCCTTCAGCTGATCCAAAATGCTGCAGCAAGAGTCCTGACAGGGACTAGAAAGAGAGAGCAGATTTCTCCTGTTTTGGCTTCCCTTCACTGGATTAAATAATCAGGCCCCATCTTATCTTAATGACCATGTAGTACCATATCACCCTATTAGAGCACTTCGCTCTCGCTCTGCAGGCCTACTTGTTGTTCCTAGAGTATTTAAAAGTAGAATGGGAGGCAGAGCCTTCAGTTTTCAGGCCCCGCTTCTGTGGAACCAGCTTCCAGTTTGGATTCAGGAGACAGACACTATCTCTACTTTCAAGATTAGGCTTCAAACTTTCCTTTTTGCTAAAGCATATAGTTAGGGCTGGACCAGGTGACCCTGAATCCTCCCTTAGTTGTGCTGCAATAGACGTAGGCTGCCAGGGATTCCCATGATGCACTGGGTGTTTCTTCTTCACTATGTGTTAACAGACCTCTCTGCATTGAATCATACCTGTTATTAATCTCTGTCTCTCTTCCACAGCATGTCTTTATCCTGTCTTCCTTCTCTCACCAAAACTGGCCGCATGTTTACATGTTGACACAGTTTCTTCCCCCAGGTCGTCAGACTCCTGAACACTCAGTGACTGGAATGACACACACACCTTCGCACATGTTACTACCAAGCACTTATCTGCAGTATCTCACACACATCTATAGACACCAAGTTACTTTTTGCACAACGATCAGTATTTTGCACATTTCTTGTCTTGTATCTGTCTTGTCTCGTTTTGTTGCACTTTAAGTCCTGTGTTCATCAGTTATATGTCATATGTAACACCAGGGTGTCGGAGGAACACTGTCTCGTTCCACTCTGCACTGTACCACTGCACATGGTTGGAATGACAATAAGAGCCACTTGACTTGACTTTAACAGTTCCTCTTAGGATCCAACATCATTTAAGATAAATCACAACAGCGCAGCCTCAAAAACCGTTTGATGCTTCCAACCAAAACAACACAAAACACATATAAGGTACACATAAGGTAACAAACACAGGGCGCCGTATGATTGTGGAGTTTTACTATGAGTCTTTACAGTATGAAGCAGCTTGAGGTGACTATTGTTAGGATTTAATGCTCTATAAATAAAATGAATTCAATCAACTTCAGACTCTGCTGATAAATACTGATCAAAACTATGAGATCAGATCAAATCAGTGAGTTCCTACTAAAGCTGGGCAACCACTGCGATTTTTTCAGTAGCGTTATTCAGCTCCTGCTCAAACTGTACGATTGACTCGCAGGGGTTAGAAGTTGGTAGGTCACGATGCAGGTCTCACACTATACGGCCCGACGCTCTAATGCGACCTGAGTGCTCACACTGTGCGTCCATAACATGAAGGTAATCTGTGATTGAGCAGCAACGTAAATCCAACCATTTTCACGGTTGTTGTGGTCGTGATGATTTTGTGAGGCCACATGGAAAAGGCTCGGATGAGCGAAAGTTCTACAAGTGCCTCCATCGCTTGTGTCCAGATCACACGCTGCACTGCTGTGCTTCTCAAGGTTCAAGGTTCAAGGTTCTTTATTTGTCACATGCATAGTTATACAAGTATAACACACAGTTAAATGTAGCCTGACACGCTCCTCGACATGTGCAAAAAAATTGGGGGGGGGGGGGTGTAGAGGAAAAACATTATATACACACATATATATATATACACATACATATAGTATATACACTGGGTGAATGTGCAGTAGTAGCAGCAAGCAGGTGAATTCTGTACATTAATATGAATAGACATCTGACTATTTTACAGGATAGACAATATAAACATATTTAAAATGAAAGGAATTGAAATGTACATTGTGCCTTGGTTTAGTGTCTGGAAGAGTCCTGACTCAGTCAATTATAGATGATGTGAGAGGGCGGGTGTGTGTGTTTAGGGCACGGATGGCTTGGGGATAGAAGCTCCTCTTGAGTCTCTCTGTCCTTGCCCGTCTTTTTCACCGACGTTTATGTGTTTGCGCATGCGCAGTGTGAGAAGCTGCGGTGACACCCTCACGACGGTCGTGAGGTGATGATTGGGAGCTGGTCGTGAGGTGTTAATCGCATCTCGTTAACCCACGTATACTACATGACGCACGATGAAGGCCAAAATCGGGCCGATCACCAAAACGGTCGCACGACTCAAAAATCGGCTCAAAATGGGCCAAAAATCGCAGAGTGTGAGCCCAGCTAGTACAGCAGCTCCTCTCATGTACAACAACAGGTGATTACAGTCATGCGCCATGACATCACTGCCTGACCTCTGACCCCCAGCTGTGCTGAGTTCTCACCGGGAAACTGCTCAGATTACACCTTCATCACCCTCATCATCATCCTCAGTAACCGACAGTGATTGATTGGCTGCCGGTCCTCAGTGGTGCAGAGGAATCTGTGTGTGTGTGTGTGTGTGTGTGTGTGAATGCTATCTCAGAGGCAGCGCCATGGAAACAGCACATTATGCTCTGCTGCCCACAGACAGCACCATGGTTACTGTTGCTAGGAGACAGTGGGAGGTCGTGCATCCCTTCACACAGCCATGAATAGAATGTAATCAGATTACTGTAACTACCATCTGCTGTTTCTAAAGCTGTACGATAGATACCTGTTAATCAGTGACAGCCAATCAGAGTCCTTCCTGGATTGTCTGTTACTACAGACTGATGTCATTTAACTGCTCCAACAGCACAAACACAGTCCAGAGGTCCAGTTCAGGTGAAGCTATCTGTCAGTCAGAGAGGCCACGCCCCTAATGATGCAAACTTGAAGCTTTAATTTTAACAGTTGAGTTATAAAAACATCCTCGTGTGTGTGTGTGTGTGTGTGTGTGTGTGTGTGTGTGTGTGTGTGTGTGCGCGCGCGCGCGCGGTTCCTCCAGCCTCGAGTCTGGACTACACTTCCCAGGAGTCCACTCAGGCGAGAGTGATGTCAATTTCATCATCAGCTGATCTACTCCAGAACTCCTGTCGGAGAACCACGTGACCCACAGAACCCCTGCTGTCTGCAGATATCTCAAGACTCATGACGTCATGTCTCACAGGTGCACTTGCAGTTACGCGCACACTTGCAGAAATGAGTGCGTGACCAAATGCAGTGTGTGTGTGTGCTGATCAATAGCCGATGACGTCAGGGTCGGATATTATCACCATCATCTTCCTCAAAAACAGACGGTGTTTGATTGGCTCCTATCGTCAGTAGCGTGGATAGTGTGTTTGTGTGTGCGTGTCAGAGAGACCCTCACCCACGCGGATCGATCATGGTAACGCTTTCAAACCGATAGGACGGATCGATCAGACTCACCGGGCTCTGGCGGTTCCACTCCGGTTCGTTCCACTGAAGCTGCCTCGTCACAGAGCAGCGCGCGGCGGACTCCTCATCCTCCTCCGACCGGGATGAAGGCTGGAGAGGCGGGGGCGGGGCTGGACCCGGCTTCTGTCCGCAGTCACGGAGCTGCAGCGCCGCCTGCTGACTGCGCGCTGTGACACGTTTACCACAAATCCGCGTGAACGTGCACACCTGCGCACGGAGGTAACGAGCTTGTGTGTGTGTGTGTTTGATTTTTGCTGCAGACTCACACTGAAGCCTGGACTGTGATTAGCGGTCAGACTGAGGCTGATCATGTGACAGCCTCATCTCGGCCCCCTCCCACACAGCCTTAATTGGTCAGTTCATTCTGACCAGCAGTCGGGAGACGTGTGTCCGAACTCTGAGTGCTCTTTGACTCCACAGGAAGCACACCCACCCACACCCGCCTACCATCATCCAGCAGGTATGCAGCTGCTCTGTGTGAGCTCATGCTCCTGTGAGTCTCCATCAGAGGAGCCGTAGATGATCGCTTTGTCCTCCACCTGTGGAGGGTCTCTGAGCTGAACTCTCCCCTCCTTCAGCTCAGAGACCCTCAGCCTCTGTGAGAGCAGCTTTCTGCTCCCGTCATCACACTACTCCACCCCATTGAGACGACTCCAGCTGGAGACCCACGCTCCACAGGATTCAAGCCTCAAATCATTTCCTGCGTGTCCTCTACGACTTCCTGTCCAGTGCCTGGACAGAGAACGGCCAACATTCAAAAAACGACACTTTTGTTTGCTCCTAAAAAACTTTATTGAAACATGTGACTCAATCAAATTCACACTGAGTGGTTATCAAAACTGAGACTTTATATAAAACATCATCAGGGTTTTATGGGCTCTTCCTCTCCTCGTGGTCACACACAGGTGTCTAACGCTAACCTCCACTCCTCGCTCACCAAACAGAACGGTGCGAGGACTCGATGGGGCGGAGTCTCTATAGACCAGACTTAACGAGGATCGATATTTCAGTCGTCCATCAGAGTCTCTCGCATTCAAAGCCAGAACTGGTCTCAGAGGGGCGGGGCATGTCGATGTAGAACACCTCCTTGTTGACGGGTGGCGGCGTGGATGGCGGACTCACTGCCCCCGAGTCCTGGGTCAGGGCCTCGTGGGATGGTTCACTAACGAGTACTTCTTTTCAGGCCGGCTCAGATGAACTTTGAATCTGGCCCCGCCTCCTGTGGCAAGACGACCGTCAACCTTGGGTTTGAAACGCTTCAGCTTGACGGTGTCTTTGGCGTCACGCGTGCACGGCAGCAGGACCGCCACGTCTTTGCGGAATTTGGAGCTGAGACCAAAGTAGATGAGCGGGTTGTAGAAACTGGCAGATTTGGCAAAGAGGCGGGTGAAGATGCTGGTGAGGTTGGGCACGTGGAAACCCCAGGCGGACCACATGGACACCACGGCGTACGGCGACCAGGCCAGGATAAAGGCTGTGCAGATCACTATGGAAACCTGCAGAGACAGAGAAAGTGATCGAACTTCCCGAACGGCACTCTGGTGGGCAGGAGATGACAGCGACAAACACTCACGACGGTCACGTCTCTCTCGATCTTCCGCTGGCGGTCGGTCAGGTCTCCCTCGGCCGACAGCGCGTTGCCTCGCTTCACCGTGTTGATGATGGACACGTAGCAGAACAGCATGACGAGCACGGGGATGAAGAAGCAGCACACAAAGATGGAGACGATGTAGGACTTGTAGACGCTCGAGTAGTTTGCCTTGGCCCAGTCAATCTCACAGGTCCCATAGCCGCGATCTGCACAGACGACAGACACTGTCACTAAAGGAAGGCCTTCCACTGCTCACTTCCTGTTCTATAAGGGCGCAGCGACCCCTGACAGACCAATCAGCACGCGGCAGCAGGACACTGGTGTTTTATGGTCCCTGCTTTATCTGAGCCTCATTCACTCTAACGCACCGCCCTGGAGAGACCTGCAGCCACTTCCTGTACTGTGAGGGGGTCAGGGGTCAGAGGTCAGGGTATTCTTGCCTGTGTAGCTGCCCCAGCCGAGCAGCGGCGCCCCGGACCAGAATCCAGCTGCGATCCAGATGAGCGACAGACACACGAACACACTGGTCCTGGTGATGTGATGCGCTGAAACACACACACTCACTCAGGTGACATGGTAATAACATGTTAACACTATGATGGTGAACACCTGATGGGCGGACCTCTGACCTCGGCTTGGGTGGCATCCTTTGATGTAGCGTGTGATGCTGATCACGGTCAGCGTGTAGATGCTGCTCAGACCGAACACCAGCGTGAAGAACCCGTCCACCTGCGTGAGAACACATCACAGGTGAGCCCGTCACGTCCCACCACAGGCTGAGTCTGAGCTGGGACGTCAGTACCTGGCAGGTCCAGATGGAGGAGATGAGGTAGCCGCTGTCCTGGAAGACGTTGAAGATCTCGATGATTCCTCTGGAGTATCCGAACACGGAGATGCTGGCGTCTGAGACGGCGAGGTTATAGGTCAGGTAGTCGGTGGGCAGCAGCGAGGCTCTCTGCCTGTAGAGGACGAAGAGGACGATGCTGTTCCCGAACCAGGACATCCATCCTGGAAACACACAGGTGCATACAGGTACTTCAGTGTGTACAGTAAGTACACAGTGTACACACAGTACTACACAGGAGCAGCTGAGGGTAATCCAGCAGGTCACTACTAAGAACACTTAAAGTGCAGCTGATGTCCAGCAGACAGGTGAGAGCGACACCTGCTCTGTTACCCACAGCCAGAGAAGCTCATCAAAGCTGCTGCAGCTGAGAGTGCTGCTGTGCCCACAGCATGATCAGAGTATTGATCGCTGATCACTGACAGACTGAAGCCAAATAACATCACACAGATGCAGGACACAACGATGACACAGCACATGTGTCTGTGTGTGTGAGTCTGTGTCTGTGTGTATCTGTGTGTGTGTTTGTCTGTGTCTGTGAGTCTGTGTGTGTGTGTGTGTATCTGTGTGTGTGTCTGTTTGTTTTTGTCTGTATGTGTGTCTGATTGTGTGTGTGTGTGAATGTGTGCGTGCGCGCTCACCCAGCAGCAGTAGGTAGACTCCTATGATGGTCTCCCCCTGGTCAGTCAGGGGGGATCTCGCCCCCCTCCCAGGATGAAGCTGTGGTTCCTCCAGGGGGGCCGCCGGCTGCAGCGCCGCTGAGCGACATGTTGCGTGTGGCGTGTAAATGGCGTGTGTTCTGCAAGTACCGCCGGACTCTGCAGCTAATCTGAGGTGAGATTACAGGCTGATCCTGGTTCAGCACTAGTGACTCCAAAGCAGCACCCAGCAGGCCCCAGCTCACTGATTGGCTGAAGGAGTGATGATGTAATAAACTCATTAAAGGATTCAGACTGATCTCTGCTGATGTATTGATCTGACTTCAGTCTGGAAAGTAACTCAGTACGTTTAGTGTACTGTGAAGTACTCCTTTGAGGTACTTTCACTTTAGTACTGAGAAATCTGGACGCTGCATGAAAACAGACATTTCATCACAGGTGACGGGGGCGGAGCCATGAACAGTCTGATGAAATCTGATGGTTTTTATTTCAATTTCTTTTTTCATGTTGTTCTTTTTCATCTTTTATTATTTCCCATGTTTGTGTTTTTTCTTTATAACTTTTCATTTTACTACTCTAGAACATCATTCAGATTTCATGTTACTGAGGTCACGGTTTGACCCCACAGTCAAAGGTCAAAGTTCAGATGGTTTAGCTCTCTCTCATTCTCTGGGCTGGAATTTTATGTATTTGAGTCTGAATAGAGAGCACCATCATGAGGACCTGAGCGCTCTCACGGGGCGTTGCATGTTATCGGGATGTTTGGTTTAGGTTGCTGAGCATGTTCTTTCAGTTTTTCCTGCCGTGGAGCAGGTCATTCCTCCATGTTCCTCGTGTCATATATAAAAGCAGGTGTAACGCTGCGACCCGACACTCGAATCTAATCTATGAAATCTTTTCACTTTTTTATTTGTGTTATTGATTATTGTCATATTGGCACAGCTGGGCTTCCACAGTCGTCCTCCTATCTCCACGTGCTGCAGCTGTTCAGGCTGGAGGTGTGCAGGAAGAAGGATGACCATATAAGGAGAGGCGGGGCCATAAAAGGAAACGCGTTCTTTATATGGAGAAAGGTGTCCCGGTCGTACAGCCCAGAACTGCGTATCATTGCGCACAAGCTTCGGTAAGTTCGCACCTGTCCGCACCAGACCATAAAGACTCCCTACCCCGACACTTCCGGTGAGAGGTAAGGCGATTCCGAGCCGCGGGGTGGCTGCAGTGGCTGTGAAGTGCCGGACTACCTGTCAGAGCGGACGGATATCTGCGGAAGCTGCCCGTCATTTCCTTATGTGGAGCGGAGTGATCCGTGGGGGGCCGGGCCTCGCTGCTCTGTGAAAACAACTTCACAACTTTTTCTAATTTCTGATCGATCCGGATCGATTTCCTGCGGAAAGTGTGCCCGGCGGCTTCCCCTCACGGCCCGCGGGCTCCCGGAGCTTTCTAACGGACTCACCGGGCGACCTGTCGCTGTAGAGCCGCTGAGCGCTTAGCCTAGCCCCGTTAGCCACGCAGCTAGCGGTGCGGCTAGTCGACCCCGACCCGGCGCGGAGCTCCGAGCCCCGCCGAGGGTCTCTCCGGCGCACCCGGAGGATCCATCTTCCGGGCCCGGTGGGAGGGACGCTGATAAGGATGCTGGCGGGCAGCGGGGCCGAGATGGGCTCCAGAACCTTACCTGGACGCATGAGCAGCACAGACACAGCCGGACCGGAACCGGACACGGCCCGGGAGACTGGCGAGGGGGCGCCGGAGGACCGGGACTACAGCGCCGAGGGGGCGTTCAGCGGCTCCGACCAGGACTCGGACTCCGCGGAGGACGATGACACGGGGGCCTGGGTGGGGACCGGAGGGGCGTGAAGCGGGAGAGGAGCGAGCGGGAGGTCGGGCATCAGGCGGCGCAGAGCTCCGGAGGCCTCAGCGGGGCGTACAGTGGTCTGAGGCCCGGGGCGGCGGGGGTGAAGCCCGGCAAGAAGACCCGAGGCAGGGTGAAGATCAAGATGGAGTTCATAGACAACAAGCTGCGGAGGTACACCACCTTCAGCAAGAGGAAGACCGGCATCATGAAGAAGGTGAGAGGCAGCAGGGGTCAGAGGTCAGCTGTGGGTTTACTCTGACATTGAAATTTTCACGTTTCGTCTCAATCTAAGCTTCTAAAATCCAAAAGTATATGAAAGCTTCACCTGCCACAGAGCACAGGTGTATCATCACCCTGTTCTCACCTGCAGAGCTTCACCTGGAGGCTCGGGAGCAGGTGGAGGCTAAAAAGGGTGACGTTGTACCAGCTCAGGTCTGCAGGTGTGTCTGAGCGTTCAGTAAGGTTCTTTAGGAGCGTCTCACCTGTAGACAGGTGAAGTTTGGCTGGAGCCAGCAGGGTGCAGCAGGTAGAATCAGTCAATAAAAATCAAAGTAGAATACAGTAGAGCTCAGTGAGTAAAACTCAATAAATACAGATGAGCCACTGTCTCTGCTTTCAGCTCAGTTTATCTGACAGGTGAGGTTAGTGGTACAGCATCAGTCAGCTGTTCACTCCAGGAACTGCACCATGTCTGCAGGTGTGTTTAGACCGATAGCGTGTTCACCTGTTGTACCTGCTCCCCCACCCAGGCGTACGAGCTGTCCACGCTCACAGGTACGCAGGTGTTGCTGCTTGTTGCCAGCGAGACGGGCCACGTGTACACCTTCGCCACGAGGAAGCTGCAGCCGATGATCACGTCAGAGACGGGGAAAGCTCTGATCCAGACCTGCCTGAACTCGCCAGACTCGCCGCCGCGCTCCGACCCCTCCTCCGACCAGAGGATGAGCGCCACGGGCTTCGAGGAGACCGACCTCAGCTATCAGGTGTCAGAAGCTGACGGCTGCTCCGAGGCTGCCAAGGTAGCGTCCAGGTGCTGTTACTTAAATGTCGGGATCAGCGCTTTTAGCCCCGCTCCTTAAATACAGATGTCGTGTGTCTGCAGGATCTGGTCAAACCGGCCTTCAGCCTGGCCAGCTCCTCCTCCTCCTCCACATCCTGCTCCTCTTCATCCTCAGCGTCCCTGCAGGTGCAGACCAGCGCCCCCACCTGGCAGCCGCCGTCCTCGACCGCCAATGGGACGCTGCTGAAGACATCAGCTGGGGTGGTGCTTCCTGGAGGCTTTACTTTGATGTCAGGTAGGTGGGCGGAGTCAACTGCTGACACAAGGCTCGTGTTTGTGTTGTTTCTTAGCTGGCAGGTAAAAGTAAACATTTCAATGGCCACCAGAGCACCTGCTGGTCTTTCACCTGTCCACACACTTTTGGCTTTCCTGCTGCTTTTATTCAGCTAATCTGTCTCTGGACCCACCCCTTGACCTGTCTGCAGGTGGCTCGCTGCCTCCGGGTGCACACACCATCCCCCTCAGCCAGCTGCAGGGCCAGTCTTTGGCCATCCAGGGCCCCATGGCCCCAGGCCCCACCCCCACGCTGCATGCTCCACCCACACAGCCAGCTACGTTGCTGCGGCTTCCTGCCACCGTGTCGCTGTCAGGTCAGCACACTGCTACGCCGTCCTCCTGTCAATCGGTGCGTTTTCCTTAGCTTGCCTGCCAACAGGTGAATGTTAGCTCCGCCCTCTTTGTGTCATCAGGACCTGGAGTCTCTCAGCAGCTGCAGACAATCCAAGTACAGACCAGCAGCCAGCAGGCAACCGCCAATCACAGCAGCTCTGACATGCAGAGCCCCGCCTCCTCCACAGGTATGAACACAAAGACACGTTCCGTAACGGGTTAACGTAGCATCGCCAACCTGACCATCTTCCTCTCTCTGCAGCAAGTCTTCCCGTCTCCATCGTCTCCTCCCCTTCCTCCTCCTCTTCCTCGGTAGCAGGTCACATGATGTACCCAGGCAGTCACACGGTGATGTATGCCGCACCAACGCCCTCGCTGGGCGACGGCAGCCTCACAGTCCTCAACACCTTCTCTCCAGCAGGCCACACCCAGTCACATGACCCAGGTGACCGACTGTTAATATTTGCTGAAATGAAAACGTTTTCAGAAAAACCACAAACTCTTTTCTTCTTTCAGCCGCCGTGCCGCAGGTCTTCCTCACCTCTCTTCCTCCAGGCACCACTCAGATCCCAGTTTCTGCAGTCCAGCTGCACCCGGTACCACAACACGCCAACTGCACACCAACTGCACATGACACATTAATGACACGTTCACGCACATCCCTGCAGGCGGCCGTTAACATCGAGCCAAGTCAGTTTTACTTGTAAAGCACGTTTAAAAGACATCGAGTGTCGGCAGCGTGCTGAACAGGGAGACAATGTAACCAAACACGAGATAAACGAGGTCAAAAGATTACAAAATGTTTATGTACACACAAGTATGTGAATGTTTGTAAACATGGCTGCGCTCACTGCAGTGACACTTCGTTTGTTTGTTTGTTTGTTTGTTTGTTTGTTTAGATGGTCATCAGTCAACAGAGCAGCAACAACCTGACCGAGCTGCAGGTCGTCAGTCTGGACGTCCACCAATCAAAAGACGACTGAGATGAACGCAGATGATTAGTTTCCTCCTTTGTTGCGACGGTTTGATGGACTTCGTGTTTACGTGTTTGTGTTGATCATGTAAACAAAAACATGTCGTCATCAGTTGGTACTTCCTGGAACGCCGACCCGATGTCCAGGTCAATGTAGTGATGATGTCACTCTGCCAGGCGTCTTTCATTTGAGATGAAGAAAGTGCCAAAAGTGTGCGGACGCTCGTTTGTGTGGCGGTATCGCGCGCGGTGACACACGGACAGCAGGAACACCAGGAGCATCACTTCCTGTATGGACCTTTCAAAGTAAAACCTGGATCTGTATTCTCTGAACGTTCATCTTTGATTTGCAGAAATGTGAAAATGATTCCAGTTGTTATTAAAATGTTTCATGTGAACGGCTGAGGATTAATAATCATTTCGTTCTATGGCGAGCTGACCCTCCAACAGACAGACACGACCAATACGACACACGAAGAAGAAGCAATGACGGGCAGGTAAGAGTGAGAGCAGTTAAGAAAGTGCTTCTGCTCAAATTTATAGTTTTTACACAAACAACCAATCATATTCACCCGTCAGCGGTGAAAGGATGAGGTCACATGGGGCGGGGTGGACTTTGACGTTTGTGAAAGAAGCGATGTGGGAGTTCTTACCACAGGTGCATCCAGGATGCCGCCAGTATTTGTAAGCTAGTTTGCATTTAGCAGTGATTGGTGGACGACTGTCAGCTGACCTGGAACCTGCACAATGACATGAGTTCAGCAAAGCCAAGATTGTCTTATCCTGACATCATCATCAGGAGCAGCGGCCTGCACTACCATGTATCCAGCTACCCTACACTCTGTACCACAAAGGTGCTTCCCTTCTCACCGGGGTAAGTTGCCATGGTAACCCATGATGCGAACAGGTTAGGTTCGAGGAAGGCCTGAGGTCTGTTTCGCTGACGAGCAGCATCGATTATAACACAGCTTTATTGGCAGCACACAGATTTGCAGCAGTGTTATTGTTCTGTGCACACTAACATCTGATCCTGCTGCACAGACTGAGCCCAGGTTTGACTTCAGCAGTGAGTCTGCAGCTCGACCATCACGTGCAGCGTGTGGAACCAAAGATCTCAGATGTGGACTCATCAGCCTAAAGCACAGATGGTCTAATGTCCACTCCTTGTGTTTTTTGGTCCAAACAAATCTGTTCTGCTTGTTGCATTTCCTTAGTCGTGGTTTTTCAGCGGCTATTTGACCGTAAAGGCCTGATTCACACAGTCTCCTCTGAACATGCAGAGATGTGTCTGCTGCTGGAGCTCTGTGTGGCATTTATCTGGGCTCTGATCTGAGCTGCTGTTAACTTGTGATTTCTGAGGCTGGTGACTCGGATGAATGTGTCCTCAGCAGCAGAGGGACTCTTGGTCTTCCTTTCCTGGGGCGTCCTCATGTGAGACAGTTTCATCGTAGTCTTGATGGTTTCTGTGACTGCACTTGGGGACACATTAAAAGTTTTAGCAATTTTCCAGACTGACTGACCTTCAGTTCTTAAAGTAATGCTGGACTGTTGTTTCTCTTTACTTAGCTGATTGGTTCTAATATTTATTCTAACAGTTGTCAAACAGGATGTCAGCTGTGTACCCACTTGACTGCTTCATAACACAACTGATGGTCCCAGCTCCACCAGTGCACCCTGACAGGCACACCTGTGAGGTGAAACCATTTCAGGTTACATCAGGAAGCTCACTGAGAGAAGGCCGAGGGTTTGCAGCGCTGTCAACAAAGTGAAGGGTGGAAGCTAAAATA